TAAATTTTCATAATTATTTTTCCCCCCACTATGGCCATTACTAAACATTTTTATTACTTATTTTCTAATTTCAAATAATTAAATACAAATCAAATAATCTATATATATTAAACAAAAGGAAGTTTTCAAAGATGAAGGGGTGTGGAACCTCCAAAACCTCATACTAAATTTTACGATTTTATGATTTTTTTTAATAATTAAAAGAAATTCCTATTGATTAATTCTCATTTAATCATAAAAATAAAATTCTAATAATCCCATAAAGAACTCTAACTATCTCATAAATTATGACTTTGAAAATGAAAGTTTGCTTAACTCTTTCAAAATTTAAATTTGTGTCACTATATATGGAAGCAATTAAATAGAATCTAATTATAATCAACTCAAACTCTATAGCAATATGTATCTATCTATCTGTGAGATAATAATTAGTTCCATTTTATTAAATCATGAACACCATAACATTATTCTTTTTAAAAATCTAAAAAAATAATTTAAATTTTGTAATGTGAATTATTCACACCTTATTAAGAATAAAAAATATATATATTAGTAAATTATAAAATTATTCTTATGATAAATGATCTTTATTATTACATTTCATCCAAATGAAAATAATTCGATCGAAAAATAACATTTAGGTTAGAGTTGTTATTGATAAGTCAGGTTTTTGCCAATAAAATGGGCATAGGTCCTAACCAAGACCTAAGCCAAAAACATTGGTTGGCCAGGTTCAGTTATTATATACAAATAAATATATATATATATATATTATTTATTTGATGAATTAACTAAAAACATTGGCCTATAATAAGCATGCAATCATATTTTTTCACATTTTCAACTGAAAAATTGTCATTAATTTCAAATCTCAACACAAATTGTAAAATAATGAAATACATAAGATTATTCAAATTATTTTTTTATAAATAAACATGCAAAGCAATCAAATTAGGGAAAAACTATGAGATAAAAATGGAGGCATGCCATTTAATTAATTATATTAGGGTTATAAAGAGAATATAAGTGGATACGTGCAAGTTAATTTTATATATACATAAAAGCGGGGTAGATAGGTTTATAAGAGATTGACAATAAAACACGTCAATCAACTCATTAGTTTTTATCATTCAACCCATGCAGCAATACCTATCCCTTTGACTTTCTCAAACTACGTACATTGATTTGCGTGAAATTTCAATTTTTTGCACACTCCTGTGCTTCACCTTCATTCTCCTGAATATAATTAAAATTTGTTTTACTTTAAATTATTTTTTCTTATATTTTTTATATTATTTAATTTTAAAATTAATTTTGATTAACTTTTTAAATCCGTACATAACACACGTAATATACTTATATATATAATTGTAATTCACTAGACTCTTATCATTATGAGATTTGGAGAGTATCAAATACATATTTATTTTTGGTATACAATGCACAAAGTACAAAATCCTATACAAGATTACAAAAAATTTTACCAATTTACATAAATAATCACATAAAAATGTACAAGTTGAATACAAATTTACTTAAGTTCATAAAAATTTAAGTAAACTTATACATTTTTATAAGGCCACTTATGTAAATTTGTAAAAATTTAAGACAAATTATGCAAATGGTCACTGTA